CAAGTGCGGAGGTAAGGTTTTGTCATAACTAACATAATGAGCCCAAACTCGGCACACCTAGTTCAACTCTTCGAGGAGTTCTAGTACCATTCACCGTATACTTTCAGATCACTCCATAAAGTCCAAGACGAATAGGATTTATATATATTTATATATTATAAATCCCACTTGCTTTTAGCGAAACAAAACAATAAGAATTAGTGATTATAAAAATATTTATATTATGTATGTATTATTTTACTTTGTCAGGTCATGTACCTATGTATCAAATTCGAATATTTTGTGTTTGTACAGCGATCTTTTTCAGCTGCTGTAGGCGATATAGCGACCACCCGCGATAGCGGCCGAGCGCCGACTGTGGTTTCATCGAAATTTTTGTACAACAAATCAAAACAGACACTAAAAATAAAATAACCCTTATTGCAATCCATTAGGATTCATCCGTATCAGCAAAATATGTCAAAAAATAAGCATCAGTTTTTATTTTTTTTACGACTCTTTGTGACATTTTGATAAAAAGTAATTACCAGCATTTTTTATTGAATATGTCTGCCTACTTAAGGTATTTTTAGAAATCTTAATATATGTTGATAATAGAACAAAAAATGTACCGAAATATGAGCCGGTATCGTTAATTTTGTAGTAAATGGCTCGGGAAGATCCTTTTTACAATGTAAAAAACTATTATTTTCAACAAAAAAGTTACCACCATTTGAAGATAAAGAACCATTCTATACGTTGTAGTTATTAGTTATATTTGATTTGGTTTAGTTTTGTCACAAAATGTACCGAAAAACAGCATAATTTGGCCCGATTTGCAAACGCACCCTTAAACAAGTGAAAAACATTACAAATATTAAATGCCGTTTTATTACAAATATTAAAACGGCAATTGCAACGTACCACGCATACGTAGTCTATTTTACGCTATGGACCGAATAGAGCATTCGTTGCCCAAAAAAAAAATTTATTCGTGCAATATGCGGGATATCGCCAGGAGAATCCTGTAGACCTCTATTTAAAAGACTTGGTATATTACCCCTCTCGTCACTATACATTATAGAAGCTGGTTTGTTTGTTTTTAAAAATAAGTAATTATTTGTTAAAGCAAGTGATATATATCCTCGAAACCGACGTGATCCAGACAAACTTGTCCTAGATGTTATTCCTAGGCTCGTTTAATATAACAAAAGCTGCCTAAATATGTGTGTAAAAATATATAATAAAATACCTAAAGAATTTAAATTATTAAGCGAAATATTATATAAGAAACATTTGTATGATTGGTTAAAAATTGAATGCTTTTATGACTTAAAAGATTTATTCTATTTAAATAATTATTAATATTGTCTAAATATTTTAAAATTATAATTTGCATGCTATTATTAGCGAAACACGACTGCACTATACAAATTGTAACATCTTTTTATACCGTGATTCTTGCAAATAAAGATTTATGATTTATGACCATTGAACGTAAAGTATCATGTTACAAATAGGTCTTAAAATATTCATGCGACATATCACTGAATTTAGTGCAAGGCATATTATGTTAGCGTATTTCCCAATCGGAAGGACGTAATAACAGAGCGTCAATTGCTCGCCTCCGGAACGAGGGCTGAGGGCCGCTCGACTCCCAACTCAAATTAAATTGTCTCCCCGCGTATATGTGAGGGCACTCACACTTAACAAGTAGTATATCCAATTTAGAGTACACAGTTGAGCATGGCCTTGTAAAGTCAGTGCACTCTCTTAATACAAGTTGAATGAAGAATACCCAGCCTACTTAGTAGACCAACTAGAAGATCAGAACTTCACTCATTACGAAAGTAGTAGTTATACGTGGTAGAGCCATGCTGCAGCTATATTATGCTTGTAGCACGAATGGGTCGGCTCGACCAGAGAATCACTACGCTCTCACAGAATACCAGGGTAAAATAGCAGCTTAATGCTGCTGTGTTTCGTATGGTGAGTGTAGAGAACATGAGACCCTTTTTACTGGAAATGAGAATAAACGTAGATGTCTATGGGCCACAGTAACGTGGACCATAGACATATCAGGTGGACCGCGTGCTCGTTTGTCACCCTTATTTTCCAAAAATATATATCCTGTACGTACATTAAGAATGTATTTATCGGCAATGGTAATGACAGTCACACAAGTCCAATGCTGAACATAGGCCCCCCTCATAAATGACCACATGGCGCGATCCTGCGTCACCTGCATCTGTGATCTCCTCAAATGATTTATTAGTCATCACTCTGTCTAGTGGCGAGTTGCCCAATACTTCAGTTGTCATTTCTTCGAAATATATGGACAATCCGTTGCCACTTCAGCCTACTTTTCCGTCGTGTTATTTGTCAATTACTCCAGTCCTCCAGACTCTACTTCTTTACTCCAGTAATACAGACTCCTCCTACAGAAACCCCAGGTACCCTCTCCATAGATCGCCGCGCGTCTTTGAATGAAACAAGTTCTTACCACGTTTTTATTAACTCACTTTCGTGCATTTCTGTGCCGATGGAATTTAGTAATACTAACTTTCCGATGAGCTAGACTTGAGAATTTGAACATAGCTCAGAACTGGATGATAGTGTACGAATATAGAAGAACATTGTTTATTTAAATACAAATTGTTATTTTGCGAAATTTACCGCGTTTAGTTCACTTATATTACAACAATAAAAGCTAACATTTTCATGTGAACCAGAAAATTTACGAATTTAGAAATCAATAATTTAGTTAGTCGTTAAGAGTTATAAATCTTGATAATAGTTTAGTCCATTCTACTTAAAAATAAAAGCGGAAAACGGTACACGGAAATAATCCGTTCATATTATAACGTTGTATTATTATATTATTGTTAATTAAAAATGTCGGTAATCACGCGAGAGGCCTTTTCCTTAAATGAATCCACTTGACATGTTGTCACTCGATACAATTAGGTCAACTATTTTTGAGAGTGTACTTGAAATGCCAAGTAAGAAAGTAGGAAGTTTTCCAAATATTTGCCGTATATTTATTTATTTATATTTTTATCCTATAAGTAATATCAACTATCATGCCTGCATTTTTACTCTATATATGTAACATGTAACATAAAACCCTGTGGTACACGTTATCAGAATCAGTATTCAAACATAAAAATAACTTCACTTCAAAAAACTGGACCATAAATATATATAATACTCAATTATTTCTTCTGCGGCTGCAACGCGCGGGTACCAAGGTAGTATATAATTTCTGAATGGGAACCACAGGGTTACTGTTACCTTTATATTGTCCGGCAAATATGTGAGTATCCCTAACTCTTACTAAAATAGCACAGTTTGGCAGAAACGTCTTATAATGAAACGTGTATAACAGGACAAAAGCCTGAATGTAATGAAGCACACACAGACAGTTTTGCGCAAAGGATAATAATATACACATATTAGACTCGGTAGAGCCATGCTGCAACTATATATTAATTTAAAATATAAAATAAAGAGTCGGCCACAGCAACCACTTGCCATCAGATGGACTGTATGCTCGTTTGTCACCCTTATTAAGAAAACACCTTATTGAGAAGAACTAGAATAATTGGTTAGTGTTAAAATTTTGTAGCATCTGACAGTGGTTCTGTTAAATATTAATTTTAATATGTATGCAATTAGCAATACGTTAACGACTTGCAAATGTTATGTAAGATTTCATGACCGAATATAAAGTAGCAAAACTTGTTCCCCAACAAACAGTGCGGCATGTTCTAAAAAGATGCGCTGGTCAGTGACGCGAGTCTGACACACTGGTTTCTATTCACGTACATGTTAATCTACAATGATTGCTACACATTTTACTATGTTCTGCATAACAAAGTAAACATTTTAGACAGGTTTTTAAGGGAAAATATAAATAATTCGAAAGTACGGGTCGATGTAATACGCTAAAAATTTCTAAATTTAGATTGAATAAAACTGGAAAATCTTTGTTAACATCAGGTGGACTGTGTGCTCGTTTGCCACCCATATTCTTTATAAAAAAAGTTGATGCTGTGACCCATACACATCTACATTTATCATTGACTAAGAATCAGAAGAATGAGGACTAAGATAGAATGCCTATTTTCCAGTAAAAAGGGTCTCCGGTTCTCTACACTCACCATTCGAATTACAGCAGCACTAAGCTGCTATTTTACGCTGCTATTCTGTGACAGCGTGGTCCTTCCCCGGTTGAGTCGTCCTACTCGTGCTATATATACAACGGGGCGGTGAAAAAGTTTCTTCGTATTTTATATACAAATTCGAGACATTGTTTTTTCAAACTTTTATTACATTTAATTAAAATTTATATGTGCCATTTTGTTCGATAACTTGTTGCCATCTTGTAGGTAGGGACGTCATCCCGTTGCGTTGGAATTGAGGATTGACCACAAAATAGTTTTGACCAAATGGGTCAAAACTATTTTGTGGTCAATCCTAGGCCATGTCGTAACTACTATATATATAATATGCGGATCTTGCTCCACTTTTTTAAAAATGGCATCGACTTTATCCGTATGAGGGCGACCAGAGCGAGCTGCATCTTTGACATCAAAATTACCGGATTGAAAACGCTTGAACCAACTTTGTGCTAATCTTACTGACACTTCATTAGGTACATAAACGTCACAATTTTTTTTCGCGGCTTGAGTCGCATTTTTCTCTTTTTTGTAATAAAACTTCAGAATGTATCGAATTTCTTCGGTAGATTCACTTTATTTAGCGGACAGAAAAAAAAATGGCGGTAAAATGTTTTTTCTTAATTTCTTATATGTATTGATATTAAAACCAGCCAGATATAAACAGTACAACCAAAGAGAATTTTCTTTAATTTTATACAAAAAAATACCAAGAAACTTTTTCCCCGACCTATTATACCTATATATAAAGATAATTACTTTGTATCTCATTTTAAATGAACCATTATATGTTCTTGTGAGAAAAAAAAATCTTTTAATCAAACTCGATGCCTTTTACAGGGTGGGCAAGCTGAATCTGGTGGACTTGGCTGGCAGCGAACGACAGCGTAAGACTGGTGCGTCTGCGGACCGGTTGCGTGAAGCCTCACGTATCAACCAAGCTCTCTCCTCCCTCGGCAATGTCATCTCCGCACTCGCAGAAAACAGTCCGCATGTTCCTTACAGGTAACAACAAACTATATAATCACTAATATTTATTAATGATTTATTTGGATCAATACATTATACACATTTGAAGCGACAGTAGCCTAGTGGCAGGGTGCGGACCGCGAACTCAAAAAGGTCGTGTGTTCAAATCCTCCATTCGACTACTGTCGTGAACGACTCCTAACACAAGCATTTTAAGCTTACCAGTAGTGGTTAAAGGAAATATGTATTAGTAATTTTAATAGCATTATATTTTTTTTATTAAAATTAAAATATAGAACATAGCTATCAGCATGTTCTATTAGCAGAGAAGTATGAGAAGTAGATAGCATTTTCACGAGTCACCGACGGTTCGATGTTATTATGTTACAAAGTTTACAATAATTTAAAATTAAAAATTTTGTGCAACCGACTTCAATATATATTATTAAGGATAAAGGCTCAAAAACTGTTGGTCAGGCTTTGATCAAATTTATATGGAACCACATAAGAAGCACCAACTTTCAAATAAAAAAAAGAATCATCGAAATTGGTTCACGTAGAACAAAGTTATGAGGTAACACACATTTAATAATTAAAAATTAAAAATTTTGTACAGCCGACTTCAATATAAGTTATTAAGAATAACTCAAAAACTTATGGTCTGACCTTGATCAAATTCATATGGGACCACACGAGAAGTATCAGCTTTCATATAAAAAAAATCATCGAAATCGGTCCATCCAGTAAAAAGTTATGAGGTAACACACATAAAGAAAAACATACGCGTCGAATTGAGTACCTTCTCCTTTTCGAAGTCGGTAGAAAATACGCTTTATGTGATTTGTGTGTATATAAAAACGTTTCCTTATCAAAAAAAGGTTGATTGTTGCGACCAAAATATTCACACTTTATTGAAAGGACATAGTAGTAGATATTTAAAAAAATACATTTAACTAGGACTTTATCCTGTATCGTGGGGGCACTTTAAATTAATAACTTTTACAAGGACTAACATCCAGACCCGGAACAATTCCTCGTAGTATATCTAACTTAACCCAATTTGACGATATCATACTATCACTGTTTATTACTAATTTTACACAGGTTTCCTGAACACGACAAAAAATACACATCGTTATAGTTATAGAGCATTTATGTTAATTTAACTTTTACTAGAGCGTGCTACAATATCAAACAATTTAACAATGCACGTTTGGTTTTGCGTATCACTGATTCTTGAAGAAGGGGAAGGATGAGGTATGTTCTACAACAGTATTTGTACGCTTGCGATATTTAGTACAGTATTTAATACTATTGCGATGCGTATTTATATATGTACATCATATCAAACGTATGTTTGGACGCACCATATCAATAACTTTTTAAAATCAGGCTTGAACAAAATACTAAAATTCCTCTTTTAGGTTATATAACTAAACGTGGTAGAAGTATGCAGCAGCTATATTAGTAGTATAGTTGTAGCACGAATGGGTCGGCTCGACCGGGGATGGACCACGCTCTCACAGAATACCAGCGTAAAATAGCAGCTAAACACTGCTGTGTTTCGTATGGTAAGTGTAGAGAACCGGAGACCCTTTTTACTGGAAAAGAGGCATTCCATCTTAGTCCTCACGGGTGACTACGCATCTGCATTTTGATTCGCAAACGAGGATAAATGTAGATGTCTATGGGCCACAGCAACCACTTACCATCAGGTGGACAGTGTGCTCGTTTGTCACCCTATCCTAAAAAAAAATATACAAATTAAAATATAAAAAGAGTCACTATATATTCCTATGAACATCTACGGCAATATAGGTTATGATTTTTTTTTTGTTTTAAAAATATTTTTTTTATAGGATAAGGGTGACAAACGAGCACACAGTCCACCTGATGGTAAGTGGTTGCTGCAGCCCATAGACATCTACATCTATCCTCGCTTGCGAACCAAAATGCAGATGCGTCACCCGTGAGGACTAAGATGGAATGCCTCATTTCCAGTAAAAATGGCCTCCGGCCACCTGCACTCACCAAGCGAAACGCAGAGGTAAACCTCTTCTTCACGCTGGTATTCTGTGAGGTCGTGGTACTACCCCGGTTCGAGCCGGCCCATCCGTGCGACAGCAAAAGCTGCCGCGTGGCTCTACCACTGTTAAAATCACTTGTGAGATGCAATAGCTTGTATTTGCAAGTAGCTTCTGCTTTTACTTAACTATAAAAGGCGTCGTGTTCTATGATTGGTCCACAGAGATTCGAAGCTGACGCGGATCCTACAGGACTCGCTGGGCGGCAACAGCAAGACTATAATGATCGCCAACATCGGACCCGCTGCTTATAATTACGACGAAACTATCACCACGTTGCGATATGCACACCGCGCCAAAGGTGATTTCTTTCAATGTTAATAATATAATAGTAGAATAGTCGACGATATTTGTAATAATGTCCTCCAGACCGCATCGATCACGGCGGCCAGTCTCAACGGAGACGAGCCATCTGCGCAGGACAGGATTATAGTGCCCTAGTGTATGCGCAAGCACTGGTGCACTCTCTATTCCCTCACTCTCATTGTCTGATAGAATGGTTGTTATTTGTTTAACGTGTTGGTTACACGACCGGTGAGAGATCAGGCGCGGGACCATAAGTTTTTTCCGAGTCATGGGGTGAAATACCGTTATTACTTTGAATCGAATTGAATTGAAGAGTAACTCTTTTATTGAGAAATTTTACCCTTTTCCCAAAATTATATTTTAAGAAATTTTGTTTAAAGAAATGGGCCAGATTAAGAGTATCCTTAACCGACGAGCGTGTATACGTAGATATATAGATGTAAAGGAGGCGGGAGAGGTGTGTCAGGATCGCGCCAAATGGAAGTCCGTAGTCTCTGCCTACCCCTCTGGGTGACAGGCGTGAGTGTTTGTGTGTGGTGTTTAAAGAAATTACCATATTGAAACTCAATTACTTAAAAAAACTTCGTTTTGTACTGTGGCTCACGTCAGATTCTGATATTGACATTCCCAGCTATCAAAAATAAACCAGTTCGAAACGAGGATCCGAAAGATGCGAAGCTGCGCGAGTACCAGGCGGAGATCGAGCGGTTAAGAGCGTTGATAGAAGAGCGTCGCGCTGCCGACAAACGTCCCAAGAAAGCACCGCGGCCCAAACAACCGCAAACACAGCAACCTGATAACTGTACGTACTGATGTTGGTCATTTTTTTAAAACTATTATTAGCATATAATTGAAGTACCTAAGTGTTAGCTTTTTTAAAAATTATAAATAGCGAGATTTTAAATCAATTAATGTGCAATATACCTGTGTTCAAATGAAGACATCTTGAAATGTGAAAGTCTAGATTCATAAGAGTATCCGATGTCGATTTTTTTTGTAATTGAAATATAATACAAATCTTCTTTTGTAGTCTCTTCAAACGATCTATATACACCCGATACGATGGGCTGCAGACAGGGCTGGAGTATTTTAGAAAGCAACTCACGTAGGAATTTAAAAGCACAATAGGCTGATTAAATAATTTTGCTTGCAAACATACAAAACCTCTAAGACGTGATGATTTTTTAGCTTTATAGTGAATGTGATCTATGACGTCAACTTTGGTGTCAACAATTATACCCAAGTCACGCTTATGTTAGTTGTTATAAAAGAGAAAAGATTAAATAAACTCACTTTGCTAGATTAAGCATCATTTGATTACACGCCAGTCATTAATATTATTAAGGTCGCGTTGTAGTCACATTAGATCCTGATTAGAGTGTATTTCCCTATATATTTTCTTTGAATATTTTTTGAGCTTTGACATAATTTCGGATATTTCATTTATATTAAGCACTATAAAAACAGAGGTCCGAGATGAGAGCCTTGAGGCAATTTTGACGGTACTGATTTTGGATGGGATTTCTAACCACGAACCTTCACGAAAAGCTTATGACATTCATAAAATCATTAATATTTTATATCGTCGACCTTCATGTTAGAAATCCACGTTGCTGTGGCATACCACAGTGCTTTTACTATAGTGCTATTGACGATGAAATAGAGATTGGACGGTAATTAGATATGTTCTCAAGGTCACTTCTTTGTGATTCGGAGTGATATATGCTAATTACCATCTACCAAGAATAAAAGCCAAAAGATTTGAGTCTGGACCTGGACCCTTGTTAGCATCAAGTAGTTTTAATGAGGTCAAAATATATACTTCAGAAAGTTGCCACGAGCTAAGCTATGTGTGCCCACCGCTATATTATTATTTGAATGAATAACTATAATTATCATTAGAATCTAAAACAAACTATATTTAATGGAATGTGTATAAAATTTTCAGCCGAAGAAGACACAGTTAGTATTGAACATGAACATATTCTAGCAGAATCCACAATAGAACAAGAGAAATGCAAGACTGAAGAATTAGAACAGCTAATAAAGTCTTTGGAAGATCGGCTAGTGCAAGGCGGTGGCGGGAAGGATCTGCTCAATAATCTTAATGAAACTCAAATAATCCTGGAACAAAGAAATATGGAAATCGCCGAACGAAAAAAAAGAGAAGTTGAAATGCAACAGAAAATAGATTTAGAAGAGGAAACCACTGCCATAGTCACCAACACCTTCGCAACGCTGCAGCAAGAAGTTGACCATAAAACGCAAAGGTTAGTGCTATTGTTTTATTTTTTCTTGCATTTACCACATTCATCATCATTTAATCCATTTGTTTTTTTATCCTCTACTATACACATATTTTGGTTTATTGGAATAATAAATATTGTGAATTATGAATTTTGTCGTTCAATATTTTGTAGTTTGGCCAGGCCTCTGTCACTCTTGCTACCTGCGTGAAATAATTACCTATAATCGCGAGGCGCTCCGGGGGTAGACACGCATTCGGGACTAGCGCGTTCTAGGCGATTGAATGTTAAAGTTTTTTAAAGCTGTTTACGTAAATAGTTTTTTGTAAATACAAATACAAACACTCACGCCTGTCACCCAGAGGTGTACGCAGAGACTACGGACTTCCATTTGGCGCGATCCTGACACACTTCTCTCGCCTCCTTTACATCCATATATTTACGCATACACGCTCGTCGGTTAAGGGTACTCCCAATCTGGCCCATTTTTAATGTATCGCCGATTTGGCGATAAATCTTCGTTTAGTGCGTCCCTTCCCGACTTTGCCGTTCACTTCTGAAACATAAATTTGCTTTGTCACTCTTTCCTCGTTCATTCTTTCTACGTGACCAAACCACCGAAGCATTCCTTTTTTAATCCTAGTCACGTCATCTTGCAAACCACACTTTTCTCTTATCACACTATTTCTCACCCTGTCATTCAGATTCAGCCCTAGCATAATCCTTAATGATCGCATTTCTACAGCCTTTATTCTACTCTCATGCTTCTTCTGCCAGACCCAACTTTCACTACCATACATTAAAGTAGGGACTAACACAGCATTATTAATTGCCATACGTGCCTTCTTTGACACATTCTGACTCTTCATAATAGTGTGTAGAGCCCCATTAACTCTATTTCCTGCGTTCACTCGTCGTTCTATATCCTTATCATATCTACCATCCCTGCTAAATAAACATCCCAAGTATACAAACTCATCCACTTGTCAATCAACTCTCCTTCTATTCTTATTTCACATAACGTTTTACTTTCTTCTCTTTCAAAAACCATCACTTTCGTCTTACTTGCGTTCACTTTCATACCCCTTTCTTTTAATGACCAGTTCATTAAAGTAACCATCATTTGCAACTCGGCCAGCGACGATGCAAATATGACTTGATCATCGGCGTACAAAAGGCATTTGACGGTTAACTCACCCATTCTCAACCCACATTCTTCAACTTTCAAAGTTTACAAATAACTGTCCATAAATAGGTTAAACAGCCATGGAGAAGCTACACAGCCCTGTCTGACACCTTTTTGAATGCCAAACCAGTCCGAGTAGGCCCCGTTGATCCTGACACAAGCACTAGAGTCCCTATAAAGAGACTTTAATGCCTGTATCAGACCAGCGCTCAACTCAAACGAGGTCAGTGTTTGCCATAACACGTTCCTGTCCACTCTGTCATAAGCCTTTTCCAAGTCCATGAACGCACAAAAAAACTTTCTGGTTTTTGGCCTAAAATTTCTCCGCAATCATGCGCATGGAAAATACTTGATCCGTACACCCATCCCCTATCTAAATACAGCTTGCACATCCCAAATTTTCCATCAGTTTTTTCCATAACTCTTTCAATTAACACCTTAGCATACAGTTTACCCACAATGCTAAGCAAGCTGATACCACGGTAGGTTTTACAATCCTGCTGCGACCCCTTTCCCTTATATATTGGGCTTTGCACAGGTATTCCGGTACCCGCTTCAGTTCCCAACATAAATTTTTGTAAATACTTGTTGAAATACTCATCAAAATGGTTTTTGTTTAGTGTTTAGTATATTTAATTGTAGGATAAAATAGTCGAAAAAGTTTTAATGTAATTTCAGAATAATATATATGTATATTACCTATCTATTAAATAAATTATAATGGCAAAACGTTGTTTCAACTATAATTGTTGCGGGGATGGGGATGGATGCCTAATGAGCAAACAAAAGGATTCAGATATATTGTTTTTTAAGTTACGGAAGTATAATGAAAGGTGAATTTATTTAATGTTTTTGTTAGATAGGTACTTATAGCGAAAAAAGAATTAATTAATAATATAATAATAATAAGTACTTTATTACAAAACTTAGTTGAAATTTAATTCACTACCCAAGTACCTACTTACATACCTATACTTGTCTTTTGTAATTAAAATAATTTAAGTTATAATAACACAAAATACTGAAATTAAAATTTGTTTAGAAGATTTTAACTAAGTACAATACGATCACATTTCTGTGAGGATTCGTATTTCGGGTTTATTTGTTGTTTACACTATGTACCTATTTATTACGAGCTAAACATCGCGATTCCCAACGAATGGCCATGCAAGTTGCATCCGTTGGGTATCACAGAACTCATATAGTAGTGGAAATATGGTCGATCATAACTTACTTACAATTTCACAATGTATTTTTACTCTTTATTAACAGCCCTTATTAACCACGGAAAGTCCGTTGTGACGTAGGAAAGAGAAAAGATGCAAAGTAATACGGACACTCGCGCGCAGCGATAAAGTTTAATTTAGCTTGCATGCGCGATTTATCTGATTAATAATAACTAGAAGTATTAAGGCTCTGGGGTAGGGGAGTTCATCATGATTTTTAAACAAGGCTGAAAAGCTTTGTGCAAGTTTTTATAGTAATAATTTAAAATCATAGTTTTGAGTAAAGAGTGCCGTTATTAGTTTGACACCTTTTTAAAGTTTGCGTACTTTTTATTAAATTATCAAAAAATGAGGTACGGTCTTTTTTAAGGATTTTAAAGTTGTAGCATTGACGTGGGTTTAAAACTAAAATTAATTATTTTATTTTATTCGGAACACTAACATTTCGCACAAACAAATCGACATAGCTATTAAAAGTTATTCGCATATGGAAATTAAAATGTATAAAGACCACACAAGCTTCATCTCAAACAAAATCGATCATTAAAAGCATAAAAAAAAGGTAAAATACCTAAAACTTTGTAGCATGCGTAGAATGGGGGAAGACTCTGAGGCAAACAGCTTGATGGTATTTAAAGGTTTAGTCCGAAATAATTCCTAATGTAAATAAGTTGCCTAATGAGAGATTGGTAAAAAAGTTACGTGTATAAATAAAATGCGTAAATATAGAAAGAGTTGTGACGATAATTAGAGTTATCTTTGGATATTGCTAGAGGTTTCAAAATTCCGCTCCAGACAATAATTGCTCCGGGCAAGCTGAGCAACAAGACCAAGCTGACCCCTGCCACGCCGTCCACTACCATCTCGGGACGGCAAAGCCGGCCTTGCTCCTTCTGACCGAGACGCAGGTGTCCTGTCCGGCTGATACTTCGTATCTCTCCTACCCGGGGTACAAATTGGAACACTCCTTTGTGCCTGGGGCTTGAGTTTGCGTATACTTCAGAGAGAACATCTGTTCTCGACGCCTCGGCAATCTTAAAGATTTGGACCTGTAGACAGCGACAATCATCTGCGCGTCTACGGGTGCCTCTATAGGTCCCATAGCGGTAATGCCGAAGCAGCATCAACCACGTCCGAATGGCTACAGATTCCTTACTACGGAAGATCCCATCCGCAGAGATCGTAATCCTCGGCGATTTTAACGCCCACCACGCCGAATGGCTCGGTTCACGTTTAACCGATCATGCGGGGAGATCTGTTCATGATTTTGCCTTGACATATGGTCTAACACAACTGGTAACTTCGACTACGCGGATTCCGGATGTGGAGGATCATGCACCTTCCCTGTTGAACCTTCTGCTGATCTCTCATCCGGACAGATGTAAAGTCTCCGACGACGCCCCTCTTGGCTCCTCAGACCATTACGATACTTTTGAAAAAATTATGGAGGAAGTTTTTGCTAAGCTTAATAAACAGAATAAATCTGTTGTAATATGTGGAGACTTTAATATCAATCTCCTAGAAGCTTCCTCCATCAATATTAAATTTAGATCATTGTTTAAATCATATGGTCTTTTTAATTTATTTTTAGAGCCAACGCGTATTTCTCAATCTAGTGCAACATGTATAGATAACATTTTTACAAATGTGAAGCCGTTGCATAAATGTATAATTCAAAAATTAACTTCTGATCACTGTGGACAATTAGTATCGTTACCTTATGTTCGCAAAAAGCAAGTAGATGAGAAAGTTGTATTTCTCGCAGTAAATGCACGTCGCTTGGAGAAGTTTAGAAATAACATAGTGAAAAAACTTCCATCACTTTCATACCAAGATGATCCTAATTTTTTGTATGGAACATTATTTAAGCTTATTTGCAATGAATTTAATAGTACTTTTACTTCTAAAACATTCTCCTTGAACAGTCAGAAGTCATTCAATGAATGGGCGACGGTAGGAGTCCATAAGAGCAGACATAGGTTATATCATATTTACCATGAAAGGTCATATAATCATAGCGTCGACTTTAGGGAATATGTAAAAAAATATTCAAAAATATTTAAAAGAATGTGCTTCATAGCCAAGTCTTTGCATTTGAGCAACAAAATTCAGACAGCTTCTAATAAAATTAAAATAACATGGAGTATAATTAATAGCGAAACTAGTAAGATCAACTCTCGCAATTCAAACTACCAGTTAAGTGTTAACAACAAATTAACTGAATCAGATCAGGACGTTGCAATGGTTTTTGAGAAATATTTTACTGATATTCCGATATTAACTACTAAGTCACTGAATTCTTCTCCTGCCGTCGCCGAATCATTACTTAAACAAAATGTAAATGCGTGTACAAAGAATTTTACATTTCATAAAGTGTCATCAAAAGATATTGTAAAATATTTTAAAACTATTGATGTTAAGAAAACTGCGGATCTGTGGGGGATTTCCGTTAAAGTTACTGCGTCTATAATAGAAACAATCGCGCCATATTTAGCTATTATTTTTAATAGAAGTATCGAATAAGGTGTGTTTCCTGATTTAAGGGGCTACTCCATGCGAAAGACCTTGAGCATTTGCCGGCGGCGTGCCGCTCGCTTCAATATATTGCATAT